TTCCCCTGGGCACCACCAGGGGTTACTAGGAATAATAGCCACAAATTGCAAGAGAGTAGGTTCAGGCTGGACATCAGGAGACATTACTTTACAGTTAGGGCTGCCAGGCTCTGGAATGGGCTCCAAGTGAGGTGGTACTCTCCCCTACCTTGGGGGTCTTCAAGAGGAGGCTGGACAAGTATTTGGCTGGGGTGTTATGACCCCGCACTCGTTCCTGCCTGGGGCAGGAGGTCGGACCTGATGATCTGTTTAGGTCCCTTCCGACCCTAAGCACTGTGGTACTATGGAACGTGCGACTGATCAATAGCACTAGTTAATACGGACTAACATACATTAGAATTAGCACTTGCTAACTTTAACGTGTAACTTCATCCCTGGTCTTTCTAAAATAGGTCCGTACACTGAGATACTTATTAATTTTCATCTCTGCTATTTCTTTTTAAAAGGTTAAAGGGAAATACCAGAATCATTTAGTAAGATACTCTACACTGTTTGCCCTCTAAAGCTGAAATAATATATGTTTTTATCTCTTTAATATGAGATAAAGCAGGAGAGCAGTCAAGCTAGGGGAAGTTTGTGTGCCACTCGTAAGTTAAGAACTAAATCCCTTATGAATCTGCAGTAGATTGGAGACACACACAATGCTGGCATGGAGAAACAAAGTTGGTCTTATAAGAGACAGCAAGTCTCTTCCTTAAGTCTGTGGCATCCACCATTTGTTTGCAATTACTTTGCCCACCTAAAATAAACCAGGACACTTAATATACTGTGATAGAACTGGCCTTGATGTTCACCTAGGATATAATTATCATGCTATATAAGTAGAGGATTGTCATGAAGGAAACAGGAAAGAGAGATGTGCATACGATGTTAAATAAATCCCTGGCTAGCCAATGGGTTTTCTTCATCTGGCATCATATAATAACACAGTGGATAATAAGATCCAATTTTATCTGAATCTTTATGCTGCTCTACCAGCTTTCTGATTTCTTTAAGCTTCTGCTCCAATTCCAAAAGAGACAGTGTATGTTTAAGAGAAATGCTGTGGAGAAAAAGAACTAAAATGTTAACTGTATAATTATTAATATGCATTTCATTTGTCTACTTCTGATATGCTTTCACTTGTACCAGAACAAAACCCTTCTCAGTTACTGATCAGCACAGAAACCTTTGGAACAAACTCAACAAAACTAGGACAAGACACTTCCAGATATTATTCCTTAAGTCATTAGATTCTTTTTATATTTACCATATTCACCCAAATCCAAGATGACCCTGTATTTAAGACAACCCTCATCACCAATAATTAGATTCTATACATAAAAATTATAACAAATGTATACATTTTCCACATATGGAATCTAATTATGGGAGGGTCATCTTAAATTTCTCCTCCCCCACTGCTGCAGTAGTAGGGGCAGGCAGTGGAGGGGGTCAATGAGCTCAACCCCTAGCCCTTGCCCCCCACACCTTGACCCTGCTGTCTGCCCCCCTCTGCCCTGCACTAAACCGTGTCCCTGAAGCCTCTGTTCCCCGCTACCAGTTACCCTGCTTCACTGCAGCATGCTCCAGCCCCACTCCATCCCAAAGTAGGCAGCATGGCTCTAGCTCAGTCCAGCAGCAGTGGCAGCTCCAGGGAAGCAGAGGAAGATGGGAGGGTGGGGGTGGGGGAGGAAATGGGGAAAAAAAGAGACACACACACAAACCCCTTTACCTTCCAAAAACTTTTTGCACAGCTTGTTTCACTACAGTTATTAACTCCGTCAGACCTAAGAGTAGAGACAAATACCAAAATTATCCAACTGACTTGTTCCATCTTGCATAAAATGCTATTACATAAAAGGGTAAGGTTACTGTGGTCATACCATCTCCTAAAAGATGCTGAATACTCGATAGATATTGCTGCTGGACTTCAGGGGGGGCTAGAGGCATCTGGAAGGAAAAGAAACCCAAACAATTCTATGGTGTCCAACCCTCTGGTACAGATCAATACACAATTTCACCTTTGCTCTTACACAGGCTACAGTCAATCAGAATGGAGAACTTTCATTTCTTAGAACATCATGCAGACGGGCTTCCCCATTCTCCCGCCTTAGTGGAGAAACTTCATCTGGCAACTCTCCATCTTTCTTCCAGACTTCAGTAAATTCATTAATATGAAACAAGGTAGGATATGGAAAGAAAAACTGGGGAAGAGGGGTTCCTCATCTCTCCCCTTCTCTTTTTAGCAACAGGTCCATTTTGTTCATTCTTTCCTTCCCTTCTGTGTATATAACTGCTATAGCCAACCCTAAGCAGATGAAAGCTGCCAACAGGCACAATTATACTCTGACTTAGCAGCCTCTTCACTTTAAACCCAAATAGACTGAGGAACAGGAGGGGACCTGCTAAATATCTTTGGACACCCAAGATGACCTCCCAAAAAAACCCCAAACTCAAACTGGAAGTTACATGCTGAAGCATTGGAGGTAGGAGAAATATGATTCACAAAATAAACCCTGAGATTTCAAATAAGCAGCCACAGCGCTGAAAAAAAATCTGACCTGTTGTGGTCTTTGAGTTCTTTTCAATACAAAGTGTTCTATTCTTTTTACTGTGGTAAAAAATGAGCGAAGCGTAAAAGCTGGCATTTTCCAAGGGTTGCCTTCTGTCTAACAAGGGCATCACTGAACTAAACTCTTGCACCCTTAAAAATTATTCTTTCAGTTCTCCTCTAAGAAAGCTTCCTGCAAGCAAGATCCCTGCCTTTTTTTCCTTCATTGTATTGCTGGGACCTCTTCTCTATTTCTAGTGGTGCAGAAAGGCTAGCCTTCATTCATACTTCGCTCATACAGAGAACTCCTACAGAAAGCCACTGAAATAAAGAGTGGGAACACAGACTTAAACCTAACAGAAGCCTGAAAGCTCTCTATGGTGGGAAAGAAATTCAAGTAATGAAGTGGGGCCCCATTCTGCTCCAACACTGTATCTAATAGCAGATCCTAACAATCCATTCCTCAGTTGAGCACGTTTCTCCTTCTGAATACACCTGGCCCAACAATCACCTCAAATGTCATAATTGGACCCTGATTTGCACCACTTCTGGATGGTGGACATTCCAAGCCCTCAGGCTTGCCACTAGAAAGTAAGCATACCCTTTCATTACTTTTGCTGGAAGGTGGAGGGAGTTGTTAATACAAGCAGAAAGAAATTCCAAGTCCACGTTGTATATATAGAGCAGCCATCCAGGGGTTCACAACCATCTGTCTTGTCCCTTGTGTGTTCGTTCACTGGTAGCTGGATCCAACTATCCATACTGATAGCCACACCACAAATATGAAAACCTTCTCTATTACCTTGTTTTTCTTTTCCATACTGGGGCCACACTCTGCTTGCCACCTGCAAAGTAGCTAGTCAGGAGTGTAACAATGAAATAAATTTTGTTTAATCCTAATAAATATTAACTGGGGAGCATCTGTACTTATTAGGGGAACCATTCATGCATCTAGACTAGCTTTCACATCCCAATTCATCCACATTATTATTATTCCATAGAAAATTACTGAGGTTGAAGAAATTTGTTTTTATATAACCCTATGAGTCATACAGATCCGGAAGATATTTCATGAGGCTACTGCTATTTTGTTTAGACCTGCTTTTAAGTGACAGGATGACTACCACTTCAATGGGGAAACTATTCCACACACAATACCCTTCACTATCATCAGGGAGGTTTCCACATCCCTCAATATCCACTCCAATTCTGATTTCAGCCAAAATTTTCCTATGATTTCATCCTAATATTCCTAGTT